AGACAGATGAACCTAGAGCCGATCCCAGAGGGCATTGAGGAGGAGATGTACGATGGCGTGGCTGTCTCTTTAATCTGTTGATTATGCTTTATTTAATTAACTTTAATGCTTATTACGTTTTCGGGCAAGATCCCAAGTTGTTTGACTTTAAAAAGGCTTCCGCATTATTTTAAATTACTCCGATGGATTTTCATATGTATTGAAAGAACGTTTGTTTAAAATTGTTTTGAAAATGTCGCAAATTCGAATACCAATTTAGTGGCACACCGGTCCGCTGTCTCACGGGTTTGGGTCATGCGGGTTGGGGTGTTACATTTTGGTATCGGAGCATTTGGTTTTAAAATCGGTCTTTGGACCCTTTCAAAATAAAATACAATGAATAATTCAGCCGCACCTGCATCTCACGTAACTCCTCTGCCCCGGGAAGGTAATAAGTATTTATAGCTTTATCTGTTATATGTTAAGATCTGATTTGGGAATTTCCTTATTATTTTAGAATGAGTCAAGAATCGACCCACGGTCAGTACGTTCCGGAGCCGGAGCACGTGAGCGTGCACACGGCGAACACCGAGGGTTCGAGTTTCACGCCTCCGGGTGACGGAGGGCAACAGCAGAATCAACCTGCGCCAGCGGGACAGCCACCAGCTGTACCACCACCAGTCGTACCACCTCCAGTGATGCCACTGTTGGCGATACCGCCGGTGGCCTACGAGCAGATGTTCCCGGCCATGATGGCCCATTATATGCAGCACATGGCGCAGTTTATGCCCATGATCCAGCCACCGCCACCACCACAGCCGCAGCCGCGCATCGTCACCTTCAAGATGTTGAAGGATAATGGAGCGGAAGAGTTCCGAGGAGACAATATGGGGGAGCCCCAGATTGCTTTGGATTGGCTTAAGCAGATGGACCGGGTACTCAAGAATTTGAGTCCTAGATGCTGATCGCTCGGAGTTGGCGTCGCAGATGTTCCAGAAGGGAGCATATGATTGGTGGAAGCGCATTGACCAGGATCCACACACACCCAAACCGTGGACCTGGGATCGCTTTGATCGAGCCTTCACGAAGGAGTACGTCCCCACCCGGTACCGCGAGGAGAGGCGCGATGAGTTCGTTGCGCTTAAGCAAGAGGGGATGTCACTGCCTGAACTGAGACAGAGGTTCGACTACCTGTCCCAGTATGCGACGAGTCTGGTCTCCACTCCGGAGGATCGTTTGAATAAGTTCGTCAAGAAGCTACGGCCGGACTTGAGGCCGTACGCCGCACTGATCACGACGACATATTTTAATGCGGCGTATGATTTGATTGTGAAGACGGAAAAGAGCTTGGACGATCTGCAGGCAACCAAGAAAGAGGATCGAGCGACGAAAGACCCGCGACCCGCGGCCAGCACCAGGCCGAGCGGGAAGAGTTTTGGATTCGGGGGAAAGAGGTACGAGAAGGGTTCTTCGAGTGCGCCGCCGCCTAAGAGGAGTAAGTCGAGGCCGTCTCCGTCAGCCGCCGCTAGCAACTCGAACAGAACGAGGAGCCACCCGCAATGTGTACATTGTGGTAGGCATCACCCGGGCGAGTGTTGGCTCGCCCAAGGCTTATGTTTGGGTTGTGGTCAGCCAGGGCATTTCAGGAGGCATTGCCCGACAAACCCTAGCAGCGAGCCTGTTTTACATAGAGCTCCGGATCAGCCTGCCGCATCACATCCAGCACGGAGTCAGCAGTCTACGGCCGCAAATAATCAGCAGAGACCACGTCCGCAGCAGTCAGACCGGGCACCAGCGCGTACCTACGCCATGCATGGGCGCACAGATCCTAGTCCCGATGTTATCTTGGGTACGTTCATACTATTTGATTCGGTTATGCATGCCTTGATTGATCCGGGTTCCACGCTCTCCTATATCTGTGTTGGCATGCCTGCTAATTCTGTGATTATGAGGAGTGACCTTGAGATACCTACCGTTGTATCGAATCCGCTAGGACATAGCATGCGTCTTCATCACATTTATCATAGATGTCCGTTGTCCGTGCAAGGGAAGCAATTCCCTGCGGATTTGATAGAGCTACCACACAAGGAGTTTGACATTATCCTTGGTATGGATTGGCTCACCGAGCATAGAGCAGTGGTCGACTGCAGTTGTCAGACCGTACGGCTGAGAGCCGAGGACGGTAGCGACGTATTACTCTCCGGGGAGGTGTTCCCCAAGACTCCCGAGTTCATATCATCCTTGAGCGCGAGGTGCTTGATTCGCAAGAAGTGCGAGATGTTCCTGTGTCACGTTCAGGATATGCGAAAAGAATCGCCACGTCAGCAGGACATTCGTACGGTTTGCGACTTCTCCGATGTCTTTCCCGAAGACCTACCTGGTTTGCCTCCGCCGAGAGAGGTAGAGTTCTCGATCAATCTCATTCTGGGTACGGAACCCATATCTGCTACACCGTATCGTATAGCACCTGCCGAGATGAAGGAGTTGAAGGCTCAGTTGCAAGAGCTACTGGAAAAGGGATTCATCCGACCTAGCGTTTCCCCATGGGGAGCACCGGTGTTATTTGTTCGAAAGAAAGATGGATCCATGAGGCTTTGCATCGACTACAGGCAGTTGAACAAAGCCACAGTGAAGAATCGTTATCC